AAAAAAAAAAGTGTGACAGACAAAACAAAAACAAACAAAAGGTTGTTTTTCTTTTCTTTTTCTTTTTTTTGTTTTCCTTTTTTTCTTTTTTTTTTCCTTTTTTTTTTTTTTTTTTAAAAATCCACAGTGGCTTTCAAAAAAATTTCAGATTGGGAACGAAGCATCCAAAAAGATGTACAAGAAAAAGAAAGAAAGCCAGACTAGAGAGCGACCAATTATAACCTTTAATTTGAACGAAGCCATCAGGCTCCTTTGGCTGGATGGCCTGAGCCATTCCTGTCTCTAAAACCCGAGAGCAATGTGTTTTCAGACCACTGGATCCCCTTCAATACTGCCTCAGTCGTATTTGTTAGAATAAAAAAAATACCAATTGAAAATGCTGTCGTCTTTTGAGTAAGATGTTGCATATTTTGCCTTTTCATTTTCCCCCTTCGACGGTAGCGCTTAGGGCCCTCACCAAACTCTCAGTAACCATGGTAACTGTATACATACCCATGCTGGCGATGGTGCTGAATGGTAAGTGGAGAAGTCCATCTGCCGTTTCACGTATTTAGCGCTGATATACCACGTGAATTTTTTTGACTTGTTGTATTAAGTTTTCTTGATGCTACATTTTTTTCTATATTGGTACGCCTGTAATTGAGTGTACGTTTTAAGCAAGCCTGGGAGGCACTGATTGGATTGAGGATATGACTTCGTGCACATCTTACTCAGATTGTTAACTCCATATTGTGTTAAATAATGCACCCTCTTTTTATCCTTTTGTTAGCTGTGATTTTAAAGCTTGAATGATTTTGTTAATTCTTGCAATGAAAAAGGCTCTTGTTCCAAGTGTTGAATGCTAGATGTTGCTTTTCCAATGGTACTTCTCTTCTAAAGGGTTATGTTGCACACTGCTAAAATTCGTTTGTCCCTTTTTTGACATTTTCTTTGTTTCCTTGTACCTTGTCTCTTTCCTTTCTACTCCACTGCATGTTCCTTCATATAATCTTCTTTTTTTTTCTTTTCTGTTTTGAGTATTTATTGTATCAGTGTTATCATGGAATACAAGCATGCTCTTAAGTCTTTAAATTATGCAGTACCTTTTAATTTGCTTTTAATGTCTTTTTATTAAAGTTTAAATGATATGATGTTGCTTTATTGAAATGATTTGTAAGTTAAAATGGTTATGAAAGTAAATGTAATTATAAATAGTATGATTTTGTTATGCACCTGTTGCCTTCTATAAATTAAATTGCATTTTATTTTTACATGACTAATAGCAGTAATAATGCATGCATTTAATAGTAACCCAGGCCCTCCCTGTAACCCTCTCTAATCCAGTGTTCTATGTGCTTAGGTAAATAATGCAACAGCACGTGTAATGACAAATAAAAAGACCGTCAACCCTTACACGAATGGTAAGTGCATGAGAGCTCAGTGCTGTGTTTGAATGCCTGTGCATGTCAGACCTCCCTTCTCTGCTCAGTGGGTGGACTCAGCTGCTCATAAGGTGTCACGTTCTGCATCTCCTGCATCCCCTGGGGCTCAAGCTTTGTCCACTGTCCCAAGATGTGATATGGCTGGGCACAAATTCTGTCTTGGTAGAGCTCAGTTCATTCACAGCCATGCAGGCATAGCATGCTGCACTCTGCCTGAGTGGAATCCCAGTGTCTAACCCCAGTGGCTTTTGTACAGGAAAACAGACCTGAGAGGAAACCTTTATTCTCTCCTAGCTCTGTGCAGTGTTCACGTGGCAATGAATGAACTAATCGGAGGATTCAATTTGGCTTGGGTGATAGGGGTAGGAAGACCAGCAAGAAGAATATCTCTGTCAGGCATGAGATACCTTTTAGTACCAAGACATGCATCTAGTCCAAGATCATTTTCTGTGTCTTCCTTACACAATTTGTTAGAAGGAAAGGGCAAACTGTTATTGGGTGCTGCTTCTAGCTTGTTTTTATCCCCCTGGAAAAATCAAAATTCCAAGCTATCTAAGGATAAAATCCATCCTAATACCGACCTAAGTTGGTGTGATGTTGTACATGAATGACAGAAAAATAATCTGTAGTTATTTGAGGGGTTTAGAAGTAAAAAAAATTTAAAATGCTTCCTTTGGGAGTGTTTGATCATGTGTCTGAGTTTGTGTCTCCTAGTTCAGAGAATTCAAACAAGTTCCTAACTCAACCATGTCAAACAATAACACACTAACTCGAGTTAATTGCAATTACATTTTCAGCTTTACTAGACTGTGTAGGTATCATTATTTGCTTTTCAATTTGATTCAGTTTTTGCTATCCAGTAGAAAGTAGATGAAATCTGCATATAAAGGTTTCCAGAGGTAGAATAGATTCTCTTCCAGTTTGAAATATAATGGATCATATTTTTTATACTTGAGGTCTCATTAGTGAGGTTTTACTACAATATCCAGGGCAAACAGTGGCTTTATTTTTTAATGAAAGGCTCATCATTTTTTCCAAGCTCAATAAAAATAAAATACAGTGATGGTTTTCACTTGACATGTGATAATTGAAGTAGTTAAAATGAGCCAGAGAAAAAGGGTCTGAAATTTCTCATGCTTTCTCAGAAACTGTTTTCTTCCTCATTTTGTATGTAAATGTGATACTTGGCAAATGATGCAGATGGGAAAATCTCCTTCATTTTTCCTGGTTTTAAAGCATCTCAGTGAATCTTTAGAAAGAGACACGAGGCTTGACTGGATCACATAACAAAGTTTTGTTGCAGTAGGAGCTATATTAACTATATGCATATGAGACGATGAACTGTCTACTATATTGTGATGATAAAAGTAACTTTTCTATAAATGATGATGCGTATTTTGTTTTCATATTATTCTAAGGCTGCAAAACCATTCGTTAGCAAATAACAGATTACGTATCAACAAACCCAGTTCTGAAGGAAAGGAATGCTGGCAATAAGAAATGTGAGAATTTTAGGAATCTGGTTTTAGAGGATGTTCATGTCTGTGCCCTGCACTGCAGGATTACTTAGGTCATACATTTTGATTTAGTAATAACTCAAACAAGGATGAGCAAAATCTGCTGTTAAGTGTTCCCCACTGGAAGTGTTCTGTTTGTAATTTTCCATCCTGTTCCATCTGATCTAGATCTCACCAAAAGTATGAAATAACCTGTTCAGTGCATAAAGATTAGGATTTGTGTTTGTCAATCCTTACATCCAGGGCATTGCATGCAGGATGTTCTTTTGCACACATTTTGATGGGTATCTACCAAGAAAAACTCTGGTTGCAATTCATACCTTTTTATTATTTTTAGAGAGTTTTTTCAGTTTTTTAAATGTCTGAGATCCCCTAAAGTGAACACACAAGGAGAATCACGTTCCTCTTGCATAATCATTGCAAGCAGCAAGGAATGAAGTGTAGACGTGCAAGGTGCTTCATTTAGTTTCATCAGTGCTTGTGTTATCAGTCATCCTGGCACGGTGTGATTCTAGTTCTTTATCATTTTGTCAGGAATTAACCAGTACTAAAGCTGATTATTTATTGAAGATTATTGTTATCTAAAGTAAAGGTCTCATCTTCTAAATAAAGTATAAGGCTAGTTTTTCTACCAGCACATTAACATTTGCAAGACTCCTGTGGCACAGGTAGCCAGAAACATTTCATTTGCACATTCTTGTCACTTCAGAACCACTTATTTTTTAATGCCTAGATTTATTTTTCAAAGAGTATTTTGTGACTGACACGTTGTTGACAGGTATTCAAAAAGTACTTGGGGCACGTGTTGCCCCAGCTGAAAACATCAGGCACTAATATTTCTTTGAATTTAAAAATAAGGTACCCTCTGTTTTGTATTTCATTCCTCAGTACTGCTGATTGCTTGATAACAGGGCTCATGTTTTTAATAGGATTGCAGAAGTCAGTAGATCTAGAGGCACAAAACCTTGGACTTTGTAATATGTGCAGCTTCATTCAAATAAGTGTTTTGCTTCTGTGTCTAAATGGTCTTTGAAATGAGTATGTTTCCCAGTGACTTTTGACTGCCCCAAAGGAGCAGTTAATAAATGCTTAATTGTTAGGAGAGTGTTTTGGGGGGTTTTTTTTGCAAGTGTATTATCAGACAGGATCATTTTGATGCCTCACCTCATGCTTTGGAGATACAACAGCCTTGTCTCGGCAAAGAACTTTGGTGTCAGTTCTACTTGTTGGCAAAAATATTTGAGACATTTTTAGATGTTCCAACCTATCCTGTTCACAGTTAGGCTTTCTTCTGATGCAATTCAGGGTGCTCAGCCAAGTGTTGTAGGGCACCGAGAATTTTGGGCAAGTAGACTGAGAGAACTGCTGCAAAAAAGGAGGAACACGAAACAGATCGGTAAAGGAATAAATACATTTTAAAGTTTATACTTGTGGTGCCTTGAATTTGAGCTTTCTATTGATCTAAATTTAGATACGAAATCATAGCTAGTGACTATTAGAACAGTTGATTCCCTCCCACTTCCCTTCCCCTCCACATCTCTAAAGCAAACAGGAGGGAAGCAAAGAGTGTCGCAGGCTTCTTTCCCACCCAAGCCTTCCTTCAACCATGGGGGCCTCGCTGGTCTCTGAAGGAAAAATAATCCTCTCTGTGTTGTTGTGTCCCATTTCCTACCACAGCTTATTCCACCCTGCAACAGGATCAGTTCCTTCCCTTCAGCACACTGAACACTCATCTCTTTGGGTGACCGTGCAGGGCGAGGGGCTGGATCAGGCAGAGGGGTTTTTCTTTCCTTGGTTGTTTTTTGAGCTTTAAGCTTTTATGGTTTGAACTTGAGAGGAGATTAATATTGTGACAGTAAGAAAAATGCACAGAATTACACCCACAGCCGAGAATTTGCCTCCTCCAGCTGCTGCAGTAGGGTTACTTGGCAGCTGCTTGCTCGGATACATCAACTCCCATCACACTTGATTAACCCACACAGCTATGGGCCAACACATTGTTGGCTGACAAGATAAAGTTAAGTTTAATTACTGTTATTTTCACGATGAATGAAGTATTTCCTCTATAGGCTTCGAAAAGTTAGATGAGACAGCCATCACTGGGAGAGAGGTAAGGAGCTGAAATATGAGAGTGCCTTTCAGCTGTGAAGAACAATCTGCGTGTTCCAAGATTTTTTTTTTTCTTTCTCTCAGACAAATTGTGGCAATGTTAGTGTAACTTAGAAGCTGAGAGATGTCTGTCAGCTGCTCTGACAGCAAAAGCTGACAGATCTGAAATTCTGTCCAGTCTTTCACTTTGGGTGGTGTTGATCAGTGGTCTTCTGAGCAAGTAATGAAGTTGAAATATGGAATATTCCCTAAACTGTAAAAAGTTAGATTTTTACTGAAAGTCTCAAAATTTGAATGATTTTCTGTCGCACAAAATTTGACTGAGATATGTTATACCACAATGTTCCTAAATACAGTCCTGTAGTGTGTAAAATTGAAGGATCAGGTAAAAATTCTGTGATACTTTCAGGAGGAAAGACAATTTATCTCCTCTTGGTTGGGCATTTTTCAGACTCCTTAATTGTCTTCTAGTTATGTGGAGCAACTACAGGTAGTTTTGCAGAGCAGATGTCATGCAATGCTGCTCCTTACTCTGAATTTACTCAGGAGTTGCCTTTCAAAACCACTTTGCCCTCTGTAACTGAACAGTTCATTACTGGTGAATAGTTACTGTGCATCAGATAGAGACAGCAGTACCTTTAAAGGGTAGGAATAGTTCTCTTTTATGTTGTTGCTGAGATTTTGCATTACACTATTTCAGTCCTATAATGCCTCAGGGTTTTATGATTTTTCCACTGTGCTTTTGTATCACACGACATGGCCAAGGCAGAAATAAGACTAGTGTGCATTTAAATTCTTCTCATCTTGGCTTTTGTGATTTTTGAAAAGCCTTGTTGTCCCTGGCTTGATTGTATTGTGATTCCAGCAGCAGAGTTACAGGTTCTATTTTAAGTGCCATAGTTCTGGAGTTTACAAGATGCTTTTGCTCAGGCTTTTTTCCTTTATTCCCATTTACAAAAGGTGCTTCCCACTCCTCTGATTTGAGTGTGCTTTAGGAAAACCCCTAATTAATCAGTCCCAGTAGCTCAAAATAATTGTTGAAACACTTTAAAAAAAAAAAAAGAAGCGTGGGTGGGGGGATGTTCTGTGGAGTTTGCAGTTAACTGGGAGTGGATCTACCTGTGGTTGAGCAAAACACAATAATTGGCACTTTACCACAGCTGGGAATGCAGATGAGTTTGCCAGTGGTTTTTTTCCTGCTGTTCTCTTGCCCCTTCCCCTCCAGTCCCTCCAGCATGGTTGTCTTTCATGTCACACGTGCTTTGCAGCCAGCCTGGCCCCTCCAGGCTTACCTGGAAATGCCTCATCAGGTGTAAGGGCACGACAGCAATTATTTGGAGTTTGGCCAGAACACACGGGACAGGAAGATCTGTTGGGTCTGTGCTTTGGTTTTATGCCAGTGGTGGGAGGATGGTGATTATTTAAGATAAAGGCAGTGGCTATATTTGTAGCACTTCAGAGCTTTGCAGGATGTGACTGCAGCATTTGTTTCTGTTTAGCAGCTGTAAGTGCAGTTGGCTCAGTGGTGTCTGGTGCTGCCTGTCCTGCTCCTGTCTCAGCACAGTCAGTCAGGTGTACACAAACAGATGGACAAAGTCTCTGACCTTTGACTGGATCCCACAGAGCACACTCCTATCTCATGTCACAGTAGGCATTGCCATACTATGGCTGTGCTTTAGTTTTGCCCAGAATAGAATCCAAATACTCCAGATATTTGATTGCCTTGTAACCTGCACTAACACCTGCTTATCCCAAATGTTTGTGTCCAGTGAGCAAACTGGTCTGGCCTCTCTGCCTTGTAACCAGAGAGCTAAAGCAATGGCTAAGAACTGCTCTGCTCTGGTACTACCTGGTATAGGGATACTTGAGCTAGTGCTGACTTAATTCCAGAGCTTAAGGGAGAAAGTCCATGGCAACTGTTCTTTTCAGCCAAGGTCATTTCCCTGATCATTTACTCCAGTACTGCATGTCTGGAGAATGCCTTGTTTCATTGCTTATTTCCATACTTCAGAGTCTGATATTCAAGATCAGTAATCAAAGATGCCTATGAAGCTTTCATTAAGATGACCTTTCTTGAAGCCATTTTATCTGTATACCTCTCTATAAAAATGAAATAAAAATTAATAATTATTGTTATTATCACTAATTGCAATATTAACTCCATTATGTTTTTATGTTTGCTGCAGGCTGGAAATTAAATCCAGTTGTTGGTGCAGTTTATAGTCCAGAATTCTATGCAGGTAAGGATTGCAATATAGTTGTCCATGCCCTATTTTATTTTAGTGTTCTTTAAAACATGCAAAAGTACAGAATATGTGTTTGGTCTAAGGTTTGGTTTCTTTGTGTGATTCATGTTATCTACAAGTCGTTCACACATTTGTGATGCAGGATTTTACATTACCAGGGCATACTAAACTTTATATAGAGGATATATGAATACGTTTTTATTGGAGAGTAGATAGTATAACATGAAATGTACTGCAATATCCCAGTCTTAGGTGAGATTTTATTTTATTTATACTTTATTTTATATTTCTGTGAAGTCACTTTTCCCCAGGAATTATCTAAGCCTAGTGAGCAGCAATAGCAAAAAAACTTATCTCTGAAAATATTTTTTGCGTGCATAGAGACACAAAGGTATAGAGTGTGTTCAGCATGTTTCTCAAACAATTTATATTTAGTTTTTCTGTTTCACATTTTTATATTTTAATTCTCTGTAATCACTTGAGTCTTCACTGAGGCTGAATTCTGATCCTGGTTAAAAGTTGGAGTTAGATCCAGTCTCTTTCTGCTAGAAGTTCTGTCTGGCAGTGTTCAAGGCCAGGCTGGATGAGCCTTGTGCAACCTGATCTAGTGAGGAGGTGTCCCTGCCCAGGGCAGGGAGTTGGGACTAGATGATCTGTAAGGTCCATTCCAACCCTTAAATTCTATGATTCTATGAAGTCAGTCATGGCAAGCACCACTTTTTGAATGGGCTTTAGCAAGAGGATTGAAAATAAACTTAGTTGTCCTCCAAAACCCAGTTGATTTCAGAGCCATTTGAAACCTGCCCATAAACAGATCTCAGCAAAGATTTTTCATGGGTGGTAGTTAAGCATGGGAAGAGGTTGCCCACAGAAGCTGGGGAATCTCTATTCATGGAGGTAATTGAGTCTCCACTAGATAAAGCTGGAAAACATTTGTTAGCTTGAGGAACTTCAAGAGAGAAATATTGTTGAAAAGGACTATTGTTGCAAACAGATATTTGTTGTTTAAAAAGCTGCCTGTAATACAACCAGTGCCATCTACTGAGACAGACAAAAATGGTCCAATTAGGGTAAAAGTGGCACAGTATAATAAAAATACTAACTTGGCATTCATGGAATTGCAGTATTTAGTGTAGACAGAATTTATTTCCTTCCCTGATATATGTCTACGTTGAAAACAGGAATTTAACATTGATCTCGTTTGAGTAATTAGTGAACCAACCCTGAACCTGCATAAATTAGAAAGTCAGAGTTATTAGTCATTTTATATAAATGACTTTGTGTTAATGACAAATATAATAATATTCCCATAGTACAGTAATCAATTTTCTAATACGTATGCAGAATTAACAATCTGACTTATAATTGTCTCATGAAGTAGGGCATGAAGAGTTCACATAGTTTGTAAATTAAAATCAATATTTTCAATCTCTCCTGAAGGTAATTTTCCTAATTTACTGGACTTTTCCCTAACATTTATTTTGTCTTTTAATTATAAAATGGCAGGTTATTGATTTTTTTGTATAACCTCCTAAAGTCCCAAGTGCATTTTTATTGCCAACACTAGGGAGGTGTTTGCCCTTCTTAATGAGAATCTTTAATTACCATTAGAAGAGTATTAATTTAATTTTATGAATTATGACATGCACTCCACCACACCTATAAGGAAAGTTCTATCAAGACACTTCATTTATTTCAGATTTTTTTTTTCTCTTTATGCATACAGACACTTCCATGTTTGGGGCTTGAGTTTTTTTAATGCATCAAATGCATATTTTTTGTATTGACTAGAAGATGATATTTTCTCAGATGTTTAAACTTTCTTTTAAGCAATTTAGTTTAAAAAAAATTTAACAAAAATTTATGCAGTTCTGCTAAATTTGTTAGAAAATGAAATGGTAAAAGAGCACTGCAGTTCTTGCAGTTCTTTCTTCAATAGAAAACTGTGATGTATCTTTCCTTTTGGGTTCTCCCCCCCACCTTATTCAGAGAAGAAGCAATTGCACTTTTGAAGATTATAAAATTAGAAATGTGATTTTCAAGACAACCCAAGTCCTAGTTATTTGCTTTAATTATTGTCTCCAACCCTGTCATGATAAAATTCTACCAACTTTTTCACCGTCAGGGCAAGAAGTTCCTTTCGCTCTTAATAAATGATGAAAAATTTGGCCACTTCTGAAATAAAGATGATACATTCACAGAGAAACTGTTGATTTAAAGTACCTTTAATCTTCATAAATAAGTGCAAAACAGAAGGTTATACAAAGCTGTCAGGATGGCACTGATGAATGGCAAATTCAGCCGTTTCTCAATTGCCGGTGAAGACACATGCCGCAAGGCTTAACCGTATTGTACATCATAGCTGCCAACTCATTTCTGTGATTAAATATTCCATCAGTGCGGGCTATAAGGCGGTAAAGCTTAACAAGATTCATAAGATGCACCACTTGAATACACATAACTCACTTCCTTGGATAGAGAGCACCCCGCATGCAAAAGAAAATTAGAATTGAGTTAAATTACTCCATAAGACAAGATCAATAGAGAAAGGAAAAGATCCCCTAATGCAATGCAAATCTAAGATATAGTTATGTCCTGACAACTTGAAGCAGACAATTAAAGTCAAATAGGGAGGAACGCAATGTAAATCAACCTTAAAACCTTGAAGATAATGGTAAACAGTAGGACCAGTGACATGATTGTTATAGCTGAGCTTTTTTTTTTTTTTTTCTGAGAGTACACTTCTGTGAAAAGAAAACCTTTACTGAGGAAACGTGTGACAGCTAAAAATGGAGACTCTGAGATGCGTGGCAGATGCACAACAGACACTATGGAAGCAAAGTATTACTTGGGAACTGCAAAATACTATATATTTACAAAACACTATAGATTTTTCTTCCTGGGTAGCCCTTTTCAGGCAGGTTTTTGTGACCGGGAAATGCTCATGCTGTAGGAAATTAGAACACTGCAGAAATGTGGCTCTTAAGCTGTGGGAGCATTAGTATGAATTTCCAGGGACATGGTCATGAAGGTCCTGATGAACTTCCCAGGCCCAGTGAGAGCTTGGACTGTGTGCTGTGGGTGAAGCAGCCAACTGGCTCACCTGCCCTGCCCACTGCTCCTCTGGGAGCTCCTCAAGTGACATTCCATAGAAAGTTAAAGGACAGTGGTTTTTTTTCATTTATCATTGCCAGCTTTCTCAGACTTACACTTTTCCATATATGATAAGGAATGTAATGTATGATAAATTTCAAGCACTGTGTGATTCATCTCCCAAACTCTTCATGTAAACTGGGACAGATTTTGTTTAGATGTACATCCATCCCATTGTGTGAATCAATCCCATAGTGGCCCATACTTTTGCTATGTTAAGCTGGAGTCTGTTCTTCTCCTCCATATACTCATCTATGGCTGGGAAAAATAGAGATTTCCAGCTGGGTTTCTTTACTAGGTGTACTCTGCTAATTTCTTTCTTTCCATGGTTTGTAATAATATTTTACCTGCTTATTTTTTATGTAGTGTGTATTTTATCTGTAGTATCTAGCCTTTTCAGCCTCAGGCAGTTTGAAAAGCCAAGTTCCATGTTGTTCCCTTCAGTTATTGCAGATCTTTCTGGTTTTCTCTTTCGGTTTGGAGAATGATGAATTTTTGAGCATGCTCCTTAGTGAAATGTAGATATTGCTGCATCTGTATTGCTACACTACATTAGCCTTTTAAAGCAGATAATTTGAGACACAGTAAAGCCATTTAAAAAATTTTACCATTCGTGGCAGAAAATGAATTTTAGGGTGTGCACCTGTGGAAGAGGCTTTGTTTTGACAGTTCCAGTATGCAAGGTGGGGGGAAAGATGTTGCAGAAATTACCTGGAAATCTAGTGAATGCTCTTGTTAGAGAACAGTGGAATTCACAGTGACTCACATGAAAAAATATTCTTGTCTGGTCATAACCAACAAACAGTATTTCAGAAATTTTAAAATTTAAGTTGACAGTGGAGAAAGAAAGGCCTGAAGACTAGTGAAGGACTATTAGAACAAGTCATGGAGCACAGCTCCATGGCAAGTAATGGATCCTATTCTCCTTTTACTTAAGGGACTGTTACTTCTACTGAGGAGTCATGAAGTTCTGGATGTTTAGGTAGTTTCACGAGTCATCCTGCATAGCTGAGTAGTCATTCACTTCATAAATAGACTTAAGCCAGTGAGGACTGTTGTAGGCACCCAGTTTCTTGGCCAGTTAGTTGTTATTCCAAGGTCACTGGGAAAATTTTCCTCATCAGTTAAAATGAAAGAGAGGGGAAGAACCTGTGCTTTTAGCTCTTTTGTATGCCCTCAGATGGCAGAGCAGTTTTAGATACCATGGGCTTTTTGTCATGCTGTGGATTTGGAAGCCAACACTACTAACAATCAGATACTGTAACAAACTTCCTTTCATGACTTCGTTTAAAAGTTTGAAATATAATCTTTTATATATAATCAAGAAGTGAAGAAATACCGTAGTGATATATATAAAAACATGCACTTAAATAAGGGGAATCCAGAGTGGATTCCTGTACATTTGCTAACACTAAGTCTCTTTATTCATGTCTTAGAGCATCTATTTCTGGAGTGTGAGAGCACCTGGGATTCATTTCATCTTTCTAGTGTTTCTCTTTGAATTTAAATGAGTCTTGCATAAGCTCAGCAAATACCCTAGAAACACTTCTCAGTGAAGATGTTTGGAGTTTGTGAAGTTGAATTATATGCTTGCACAGCAATTCTAATCCTAGGGTAATAGTTCACTGTACTATATCTGTAAAATATAATTTTGGTGAGAACTGGCTATCTGTCACTACTTAGATTAATTCATTTTACAATTTGATTACACACACTTAGATTTGAACTTTGCTATTGACTAAGCAGACTTTCCTAAATAAATATATTTTGAAGAGCGTTAGCTAAGCTGCTTAAATAATTTTCTAACTACAGTTAATTAAATAATTATTGTTTAATATTCC